TCTACTATTTTATGTACTATTATAGTTTGAATTTTAACAAGTAAATTATTGATTTAATATCTCTTTCTTTTATTTTCATAAAGGCCATCATCTAGCTGTGTTACATTTTTAAAACAAAAAGGTCCGGTAACCTTACTTTTTGGTTTGTTTTAAGAATATGATCAATAATAGCATCTGTTAATATTGTTGGCCATAAAGTTATATCATTTTATTACTTTCATGTATCTATATATATCGAAGCATTTTTTTTGGGACTATTTCTATCTTCTGTGTTTTCGCAATCCCTTTTTTCAGTAGCATTTTAAAGACTGCGGGAGCCCCTTCGGGCCCTACGCGCCCGCATAGTTCGCTTACCGCTTAATCCGCCGTTCAGGTATACACCACATATGCGTACCACTATAATGCTATAGCAAAAAATGATGTCAGAATTTCTGCACGCCTTTTACAACCTCGAGACTAAGATTTTATTCGGGAGTTACCGTTTTCAATTTAGTAATTTTTAAAAAATCCTTGGGCAGATTTATTTTTGTTACAAAATGTTACCTTTACAGACTTTTAGCTCTGCACACTAGAAATTCTAGAAATACAGTTTTGTATATCATAATAATATTAGTAGTTGCCAGAGAGCTCTATAAAGTAGAGAAAAAATTTATAAATTTGAAAACTATAAACATAAATTTAAATTTCTCAAAAAATAAATTTAAAAATCTCAAAAGTCGCTACTTTTGGCTGATTTGTCTGAGGTCTCGGCTACCTCACTACGTCCCTCTAAAAGCCGCCACACTTGGAAACTTTGGTGAGCAGACATATAGTGTCTAAGTAAGGCGAAATGTAATCGCCAAACCGCGCTGTAGAAAGGCGGAAAAATTTTAAATTTAAAAAATATAATTTCTTGTGAACAGCAATTTGGGCCCCCTTCCAAGTGGGCCCTATGCGGGTGCACCTGTTGCACCTGCCTAGTTACGGCTCTGTAGAGGGGGACCATGTGTCATATCTCGAGTGGAATCGGACTTAACGAGTAAACTCCTCATTAACATTTTCAATTTTTTTAAATAAAACTCATTTCTATCTTCAAAATTAAGTGATTTGTCGTTTTATAATAATAGTATAATTTTTTTAATAATAAAATCTCGTAACGGATGATGCAGACACTATTTATTAACCCTGGCGAAAATTTAAATTTAAATTCCTTCGGATAACCGACCTTCGGATAAACGACGCTCTACTGTATCTTAAGAAAGAAGAAAAAGGAAAATACGAAGAAATGGCCAAGAAAGAAAAAGAAATGTACAGTACCAACGAGAAAAGGAAGAGTTGGCTCAGTTAAAACCAAACCGTAAAAGAAGAAAAATGGAGAATAGACGAGAACCATCGCTGAAATCAGAAGAAGGAGACAGAGAGAAAAAACAAAATTAGATGAAGAAGAAGAAATTTTAACCTCTCGTTATATCGCTCATTCGGATATATCTCGCTTTTACTTTTCCAGACACATAACACGGGAAAGTATTGGAAACCTGTCAAATTTGATCTTTCAGGTCTTTGTAAATATCGATGTTACGGACCCCTAAATCCCAAAAAGTCAAATAAATAAATAAATAAATTCTGTTTGTGTGTGTTGAATCTGTTTACATTATATCGAAAGATGGAGTGAAGATTAAGAAATGAAATTTGGTATGATAACTTGTATATAAATTTTATTGGTGCTATTAAATTTTGCAGTACAAAACTCGAGGGGTGGAGAGATAGAGGGGCACAGCCGTAGCTAGCCACTCCTGTGCCCTGTGCAAAAATTTGCATTTAGGCCCCTTAATTTATTTGGTTTTGGGAAAATAATAAAACAAATACATTACAATAGATTTTTAATAAGATTTATTTTAATTGAATTTTTTTGACTTTCATTTCAGCAAATTCATTAATTACACCTTCACAATTAATATTTTTAACGATATTGTATTCTATTGAAATAATAGAAATATTGGATAATCGTTCTTGTCCGATAGTTGATCATAAATAATTTTTTATTAAGTTTAACTTGCTAAAACTTCTATCGCACGAAGCGATAGAAACGGAAAGAGTTTAAAATATTTGAAGAGCGACACTGATATTTGAGTAAAATTCAATTAAACTAAAATCATGAAGAGCTTGTAGAATATTAAGCGGATATGCAGTTTCCATATTTTGTATAAGAGTCGTTACTTCAAAATTAAAACTTTCAATTTCACTTGTAAATTCGTACTTTTTAAAATCTTTGCTATATTTAATAGCGAGATCTGCAGCCGATTTTTTTTAAATCAGCAACACTCATGTATTGTAAAGACGAGCCACAGAGAAAGCAAAAATCGTCACAGATAGTTTTCATTTTTTCATAACGCCAATCTATTTGACACAATAGAGTGTCAAGAACACTGTAAATTTGTATTTTAAATAATTTTTCGGGTGTCAAGTTACTTCCTTCATCTGGTGTTTTATCTATTTCCATTATCTTAACTCTTTTTTTTCGTTTATTAAGAAATCCCTTTTCTATACTTTTTGGTTTGTTTTAAGAATATGATCAATAATAGCATCTGTTAATATTGTTGGCCATAAAGCTATATCATTTATTACTTCCATGTATCTATATATATCGAAGCGTTTTTCTGGACTATTTCTATCTTCTGCGTTTTCGCAATCCCTTTTTTCAGTAGCATTTTAAAGACTGCGGGAGCCCCTTCGGGGCCCTACGCGCCCGCATAGTTCGCTTACCGCTTAATCCGCCGTTCAGGTATACACCACATATGCGTACCACTATAAAGCAAAAAATGATGTCAGAATTTCTGCACGCCTTTTACAACCTCGAGACTAAGATTTTATTCGGGAGTTACCGTTTTCAATTTAGTAATTTTAAAAAAATCCTCGGGCAGATTTATTTTTGTTACAAAATGTTACCTTTACAGATTTCTAGCTCTGCACACTGTAGAAAAATCTAGAAATACAGTTTTGTATATCGTAATAATATTAGTAGTTGCCAGAGAGCTCTATAAAGTAGAGAAAAATCTGTAAATTTGAAAACTATAAACATAAATTTAAATTTCTCAAAAAATAAATTAAAAAATCTCAAAAGTCGCTACTTTTGGCTGATTTGTCTGAGGTCTCCGCTACCTCACTACGTCCCTCTAAAAGTCGCCACAGTTGGGAACACTGGTGAGCAGACATCTAGGGTCTAAGTAAGGCGAAATGTAATCGCCAAACCGCGCTGTAGAAAGGCGGAAAAATTTTAAATTTAAAAAATATAATTTCTTGTGAACAGCAATTTGGGCCCCCTTCCAAGTGGGCCCTATGCGGGTGCACCTGTTGCACCTGCCTAGTTACGGCTCTGTAGAGGGGGACCATGTGTCATATCTCGAGTGGAATCGGACTTAACGAGTAAACTCCTCATTAACATTTTCAATTTTTTTAAATAAAACTCATTTCTATCTTCAAAATTAAGTGATTTGTCGTTTTATAATAATAGTATAATTTTTTTAATAATAAAATCTTGTAACGGATGATGCAGACACTATTTATTAACCATTTCGGTTTCAAGCGTAAGTTTTGATCTCTCAAATATTTGCTGTTACGAATATTGGTTTAATAAAATCATTGAAATGATGCAATCGAGTTAGTAACAGAGAATGAAAAGAGAATAAGAAGAAGATACTGATAGGAAAGTACAACTGCAAAGCTGAGTCCTGCTCCAAAATTTTGTTGACACATCCTCGAAGTGAAAGCTATCAGAGGTCATACATCTTCAGCAGTTAATGTTCTGGCACTTAAGAAAACTTATGGAACTCAATAATCGCTTAGAGATGTTTGGAATGTAAGCGTGATTGTCTCTCACTATTTCTTGTAAACTTCGGGACAGTATTTTACAAACTATGCTGAAGCAAGAGCCGCCAAATAACACACACATTTTCTAAAGGTACATTCTGGATTGTTTTGCTTCATTTTATATGCGGTAGTGTTAAGTTCGGAGAACATAATATTTGCTGTGTCAGACGCAAAACCGATCATGTCTTTGAAATAAAAAAACACTCAAATTTTAATTGTTCTTTGAGTAAGAACAAATGTTTTGCTGTTGTGCCTCTAGACTTAAATCACACGGAGCAGCTTGGATAGCTAAAAATGTATTTTGAAGCTTTATATTTCTTAAAATATACATTTGAGACGATTAATTTAACAAGCAAATTATCGTACAACTCAAAAATTCTTGAAACTCGCTAAAATCGTTAGTAATTCGATCAACTTAAAATATTCAAATTTTCTGTATATATAGAGGTAACGAAGTTTAAAGAACAACATTTAGAAGAACAATGTGAACAAAAATCAATTTATTGATTCATTAAATTAACATTAAACCAGAAATAATTTTTAATTAATTAACTGATATAATAAAATTAATTTAATCATTGAATTTGTCATTGTTTGAATTCCAGTCTTTTCGTTTCTTGAAAACCACAAAGTAAAGAAACTTATTCTCGAGTTGACGAGACTTTTTATATTGGAGATATTCCCCAAAAGTACTCTCTCGAAATGGATGAAAGAGACCTCGAATTCATATTTTAAGTTCAATCGATCCTTTTATCAAATCATTAGACACGGCTTTTATTGGAAAAGAATCTTCTTCGAATATCTACGAGATGTTAAATTATTGTCAATTATTTCGTTTGAAATATTTTAAGTCGCAATCGGTAAATTCTTCTCGACAAAGTTTTGATTGATATTTTTGAATTCCATTTTACAATTCGTGGTCTGTGGGGTTGAAAAGATGCAAGCATCACACTTTGGGGTTTTTCATCTTTATGTAAGCATCATTTCCAAGTGCCTTGCTGTCGATTTCATGTTTTCTTCCACCACGTTCTTTTGTTTTTCTGGACGAAGCCGGTTGTGGATGATTTCAAAATCTGAAAGAATTTCTGAAGTTCTTTTAAGTCGTCTGTAGCATTTGACTTAAAATGTGTATTAGTGTATTAGTTCGTTGTTTGTTCAAATTTTCAATCGTTTGATGGTCATATATATTCTGTCTTCACTTCGTTTTTGAACGTCTTGAAATGGAACATTACTTTCCTCACCAGGAACAAGGTTACTTTTCTCTACAAAAACGGTTGTAGCAGAGATATATTAAAATACTAGCACCTACCCAAAATAACATCATCAGAGATACAATTATATATTCGATTGTTTTTAGTTTTTTATATTTTGGATCTTGAAATGTTTCGTCATGATTTTCGTGATTCTTTTTCAATTCTACTAAACTCTGCTTAACTCTTGTTTTAAATCTAGTTTTTAAGTTCTTCGAATGAACAATCAATGGTTTACCAATCCTTTTCTTATGTCTAAACTGTGGAAATTGTTGTTTTCTATTTGATGTTTTATGTTTCTTCTTGAACTTAGTTCGTTTTTTGTTAAATGAGTAGAATTTCCTTAGCTTTATATTTCTGTTTTGAGTCAAGAAATAATGTTGAGGATAATTAAAAATACATTTTCCCCTTTTACATCGGTGTATTTCACTCTTAGCTATTTGAGCAATAATTTTGGATTTGGTCTTTTTCATTTTGTTTTTGAGTTTCATTCGTTTTTTTTGTTTTTCATCTTCATTCACGTCAAACAAAGAAAGAACTTTCCTCTTACTTTTCACCTCTTTATTATGTTCTTTGTTGATATTTCTGAAGAATTTCCTTTCCTTATTCAAATTAGTTTTAAAATTGTCATATTTGACAATCAAGTTGAATTTTTTTCTTCGATTATCATCAAATAATGAATCAATAGAAGGAAATTTTTCTTCTTCATTTTTTATGTCCTTATACTTGTTCCAATACTGGATCCATCTATTAATAAATGCTTTTCGAAACGATGAAGATGCCACAGTGTTATCAGCAACATATGAATGATTGATGATTGAACTTGGCTCTCTCATCGAGGATTGGGTTCTTCTTTTCTGTAATCCCAAGGAAAATAACGTTAATTTATTCATTTTAAGATAATATATATCTTTGTAA